CAGTTCCTGGCTGATCAGCTACGTTTAGGTAAAGTCATGTAACTTTGATGCGCTGGTGAACCATTCTTAAGTTATAAGATTGTAAAACTGTTTCAGTGTCACACACTAAAGCTAAATGATATACAAAGTGCATAAACACTTCAACATTATTTTTGAAAAAAATGTCTTTATAGAGTGTACAGTAAGAGAAAGAAGCTTTCCTGAACCATAAAATGCAGATATTTGAGAAAGTAGACATGGAAGTAATTGATTTAGAGACCCATTTGGTCTAAATATTACATTTAGGAGTATTACAACACACATAGATGAAATGATCTTATATCTAGGTGACTTTGTAAGTGCAACTATTTTGCACGTTTTCCACTGTAAAGCACTGTGAAACCAGTGAACAGGTCATTACTAGAGTCTTTACACAAGTCTTATGACCTAAACTGCCCAGTTTCCTGAAATCAGTATCATACAATTAAAGGGACAAACTGTAAAAACACAGTTTTTAGATAGTAGCTGAAATGTTTGATAAGAGTGGCAAACACTTCAGGTGACTTCCCCTTCAAACGTTTCAACTAAATGCCTCGTGTTCGAGAAGCTGTTGTCTATTTTGTGGAATGACAATATTGAAAAAAGACCATTTCCATAGTATGGTTTGTATTTTATAAAGTGTACAGCTTTTTCATCAAGTGAGCGTTCTGGTTAAGTGTTTATAGAAATTACAATGTAAAAAGTTCAGTTTTAAAGAGTCATTTTTCAGTGTAGTGTATTCATTCATTAACACTGTATACACTGTCAGAAGAACTACTATACAGGTATGTTTTTCATTCATCAAGGTGCAAACGATGTAAATGTGCCGTCTTCATGGCCACTGGGGAGAGAAAGTAGATTTGAAGCTCAAAAAGAGGTGAATTCATTACTTTACACATTGGGTGCAGAAGCAGAGCCCGTCGTTTGTGAGGAGCGTTTGAGTTGGCCGAACATTATGAATTTGGTACAGCTAAAGATGAACAAGGAACAAGATGGTAGTCTGTTTGACCGACAGTGATGTGTCGGGAAAAAGTCATAACAATCTCAAAAGTCTGAGCAAATCAGAAAGCAGCCGGCTAACTTGAGGGCAGGGAAGTGCATTGATGAGGTCACAAGCAAAACAGTGTAGCTTTAAGGCACAAGCCTTAACAAAGACACCAGCCATACCAAACATTTTAAAGACAGAATGGATCATCAGTCAAGAGAGATCTGCAAAAGACGTGGCCAGACACATGGTCGTCGGGAACAGTGTCCAGCTAGAAATAAAAGGTGCCAGAAATGCAACAAAATGGGGCAGTTTGAGTGTGTAAAATAAAAATGGCAAAAGAATTAACTATGAAAAAGGAAGACAAATAAAATTTCTTCCTAGGATCCGTGAGGAAAAAAACAATGCTGATGACATGAGTAACATTTCAGTGAACGACATTTCAACAAAGTTCAAGATCTGGCACATCTGGCTACTTGTACAGGTTTGAGCTGTTCTGGGGACCAGTGGCTGAAAAGGTGATATAGGTGACCTGGGAATGGCTGCTGACGTTAAGGTTGTCTCTGGGATTGTCATCAAAGACAACAGCCACGTTTGACGGTGTCTTCTGTAGAACACCCCTTCTTGAAACACTACATGGTCAGGAAATTGAGGCTACAGGCACTTTCAGAGTCAACCGCCTAAAAGAAACTACAGGCAACCTCAAGACCCTCAGTGAGCTAAAGGAACAGGGAAGAGCAGCATCCTCTGTCAACCAGTGAGAATGTAACTGTGACAAAATGGGTTGATAAGTCTATCATTTATGTGGTCTTGACATGTGATGGTAAACATCCTCAGGATGTGACACAAAGCTGGAGTAAAAAAGACTGTGCTGTGATCCAAATACGTCACCTATTTGCAGTTGGTTTCTACTAATAGTCACATTTGGGAGTGGATCTGGTGAATCAGTATATTGCAGTGTATCAACAGAAGAAAGAACAAAAGGTGATATGCACATTTTCTACCACTTCCTGGATGTGGTACGTGTGAATGCAGGGGAACTTCACCAGACGAAAAACACGCAAGCTTAAGACCTGTTGTCTTTTAAAGCATCTATTGCTCAGACACTGATCAACAGTGGGGTCATGCAAAGCGCTCTCGGGGGCAGCCAAGTCTCATTCCTGCTTCCAAGAGAAGGAACCAGGTCAACACAACCTCTAAGCCTCCACAACACTGGAAAACACTTTTCAATAAAAAAGTTACAAAGCAGTTTTGTAAACATGAAAAAGAAGCTTAGATGTAGCTTCAGCATTGTTTGTTTTAAATATTAGCTTTACAATATACACCATTTAATAGTTAATGAAAGATATGATGAAAGATATAAACATGCTTAGAAACACTTTTTGTTTTTTTTTAATTGTATGTCTTCCACTAACGCATGGTCCACACATGTGGACAGTTCAATAACTATTTAATAAAATTGATTTTTATATGAAATGAAAATTCATTTGATGTTTTATGCTGATCTGAGTAATGAAAATAAATTTTTAATACAATTTCTACTAATTTATGCATGAAAGGGCTAGAATGAGGACGAGGGCAGAAAATGTCATGGCTGACCCCTCACTGTGGTCACTCTCTCCATCTTAGTGAAGACCAAGAGTGACAGCCCTAAAGACTTGGACCAACCACCACCTCCACAGCTTCTTTCTTCCAGCCATCATCCTCCTAAACAAGTGCCCTTCTAACATCCCTCTGCTTTAAACAGCTGCACATGCGCTTTTTTAAATGCCATAATCCTTCTGAATGAGAACCTTTCCCACTTTACTGTAGTTAGTGCACGTATGCACTTCAACTTGTTGCAGTATACATATTTTATGAATATGTTTACATTCATATTTAAACTTGCTGCTCAAATTTTCAAATCAGTACTCCAGTGCTTGGTTGTATCTGTATTTATCTTCTATTGCACATCATTGCACCTTGCAGTTTGTGTCCTGTCTATGTTTAGATGTAGTATGTCTTTTTTCTATAATTACTTTATACTTTAATTAAATTTAATTTTACGTTGACACCTGCACCAAGAGAAGTTCCTTGTACACCTGATACTTTTCATATACTGATTCTGATTCTTCTGATGTATCTTGAAGCTAGTAACCTTTAAACTAACTAAAAACACTTTGGGGTGGATACATGATGGAGGGAGTTTTGCAATGTTTGTTTTCCTGCTAGCTGGCTAATGCAGGAAGAAAGGCAGATAGGCAGGAAGTCATATATCACATCTGTATTTATAGGCCTCTAAATCAGTGCATATCTTCAGTGTCGTAGGGGGATTCCCAATGTTGCATGACATATTTGAGCTGTGCATGCTGGGTATTGTAGTGAGAGAACACTGATGGGCAAAAGGATAAAAAGATAATACATTATGGATTGTGTCAAACCGATGAGGCTGAGGGATACAGTGCTATCATGACAAATAACATATTAAACTCTATTTGGCCTGAATGCACCTTTAAACAAATGGCTTACTAAAAATATAATAATATAATACAAGAATGGGTCAACCAAAAAAAGATGATGGTTTCTTTTTCTTGATAGCTACATCAGCCTCATTGCTCCAGTACAAAATTCAAACAACAAACAGTTCCTGGCTGATCAGCTACGTTTAGGTAAAGTCATGTAACTTTGATGCGCTGGTGAACCATTCTTAAGTTATAAGATTGTAAAACTGTTTCAGTGTCACACACTAAAGCTAAATGATATACAAAGTGCATAAACACTTCAACATTATTTTTGAAAAAAATGTCTTTATAGAGTGTACAGTAAGAGAAAGAAGCTTTCCTGAACCATAAAATGCAGATATTTGAGAAAGTAGACATATAAGTAATTGATTTAGAGACCCATTTGGTCTAAATATTACATTTAGGAGTATTACAACACACATAGATGAAATGATCTTATATCTAGGTGACTTTGTGAGTACAACTATTTTGCACGTTTTCCACTGTAAAGCACTGTGAAACCAGTGAACAGGTCATTACTAGAGTCTTTACACAAGTCTTATGACCTAAACTGCCCAGTTTCCTGAAATCAGTATCATACAATTAAAGGGACAAACTGTAAAAACACAGTTTTTAGATAGTAGCTGAAATGTTTGATAAGAGTGGCAAACACTTCAGGTGACTTCCCCTTCAAACGTTTCAACTAAATGCCTCGTGTTCGAGAAGCTGTTGTCTATTTTGTGGAATGACAATATTGAAAAAAGACCATTTCCATAGTATGGTTTGTATTTTATAAAGTGTACAGCTTTTTCATCAAGTGAGCGTTCTGGTTAAGTGTTTATAGAAATTACAATGTAAAAAGTTCAGTTTTAAAGAGTCATTTTTCAGTGCAGTGTATTAAAGCCTTTCATTAACACTGTATACACTGTTAAAAGAACTACTGTACAGGTATGTTTTTCATTCATCAAGGTGCAAACCATGTAAATGTGCCTTCAAAGGTACTACAATGGTTTTAAGGTCTAATTTTGTATCTTCAATAAGTTTTCCACAGGAGACAAGTACATATTTCTAGCTTTTCATGACCTGATGTTTTAAAACAGAACAACGAAATAAAAGGCTGGAGACAACAGCTGGTATGTAGGGTCAAAAAAGGCTCAAAAAGTTCATTTCAATGTAAGATGGTACAAGTATATTCCCGTACTAAAGGTACTGAAGACATACTCTTGAGGGTACCGCCCCAGAGACAAGAGGGGTAACGCCCCAGTGACAGTTTAGTACCTTTTATCTGAGAGTTCACTACAACAAAATATATCCATCTATCCATACTACTGACTTCATAATCTACATTTTAAGAGTACATTGACCTTAATAATGATCATAGCATGGTTAAGTGATAGTGATTGATGATGATTTCTTCATCTATGATGTGAAAATACTTAAGATAATTACTGGTTATAATATAGTTTAGCCTCCATAAAGTAAAAGGCAGTAATGAAGTTTAATTTTTTTTTTTTTACCTGTGATCGAGACCAAACTGAAGAGAACAGAAATCAGCTGTACTGCCACGGCCATCGTGTGAGGAAGTTTCTAAACCAAGGAAGTAAGCAGAGGTTAAAACCTCCATAATGAGCAAGACATAAAAAAGTAGGAAATAAGTGAAGAAAAATGACCAAAGACACCAAATAATATAAAGTCATTGTAATGTATACATAATATAAGCAATATGTCATTATACTCAAGCTGACAAAGCACAGCAGGAATGAATAGGAAACATTTAGTTCTGTGCAAAATAAATGAGGCTGTTCAGGTTTAGCTTGAGTATCTTTTCCTGTAAGGTAAAAAACAAGAGTATAATATTAGATATATTTCATATAAGATACTATAAAAAGTTGTAGTTCGTCACTGCCAGACCCTTGAGTGGAAAACCACAGACATGCAGATATGATGTGGGGGAGGGGTGGGGGTGACCACCATGAGGTATGATTGATATCATTATATTACACATAGATTTTATTGCACTTTTGAGGACTCCTATAGACTTCAGTTTTACTGTAGCCAAGTAATACTGCACCCAATCCTAACCTTAACCAAAAATTCTTAATCCAAAGAAGCTGAATTTGTGGTCAAAATAGCATGTTTTCTTGTAAGGGCCAGCAAGAAAAAGTTTCAAGTTTATTTGTCTTTTGCACATGTCAGGACATTGAAATGCTTGTGGTGAGGTATATGTATATATATATTTGGCTTTATTATAAGCGGCCCACCAGCCAGTACGTTGCAGTTCTCCCTTTCACCTGATGGTGGCAGCTGACTAGACCTGCAGCTTCATTCAGTGAACGACATTTAGTCAAGACTACAGACATAAAGCTCAAACTAACACTGAAAACTGCCGATTTTGGCGAGATGCAAATTCAGTAGTTCAGTAAATATTAACCCTTTAATGTTGAACAAAAACATGGCTACACTATACAATATGTAAAGAACATTACCAAACAAAACCAAAATCACATACCAATTGAAAGAGCCGTGAGTACAGTGACACCTGACATGCTCAATCAAGTATGGAATGAATTTGACTATGGTGTTGATGTTGTCTGTACAGCTGGAGGAGGTTCATATTGAACACTTGTAAAATTACATAATAAACTTCATGCTCATTTAAACCATTTACAGTTTACTGCATTGTTCGGTAATGATTTACAAGTGAAATGAGTCATTTTGTAATCAGATGATTCTTTTTGAATCACCCTGTACATATATTATATGTATGTTTTTTAAAGACAGTTGGTCCTGCTTGAGACTAAATTCAATGAGACCAAATAGTTAGTGGTCAAGAGACACCTATTTATATATATATATATATTATATATATATATATATATATATATATATATATATATATATTTTTTTTTAAACAGAAAAATGTATGTACGCCCAAAGTTATGCCTGAAGCTTGACAATCTAATGCTAACTGTACTGAACTCAAACTGAAATCCACTCAAATCCCCATTTCTTTGAAACTCTTTCCTTTCCTCATGAGGAGTACTTCTCAAATTATTATAGACTGACAATATGAGCACCATTACATAGTAGATGTGTATCAAACCAGAATCTAAATAAGAAACCTAGCTCATGTCTTCATGACAAGCTGCTTCTGAACACTTAAAACCCACATCCTTCCTGCACAGCCTATTAACTCAGAAAACCACTGTTTCTCAAGTCTAGAACTGACAGTTTAATTCTCACATCAGCTGTGCAGCACAGGTACCGATTTAAATAGCTAGAAAGAGTGGTTCTGTTGGGTGATGGCTTAGTCCGTGGCAGCACTCAGAAACACGTGAGGCAACTCAGATTTTGTGTACGTTAATAGAAAATATTTGTTGTTTTGACTTTGAAGAGTAGCATAGTCTCATGTGGTGCAACTGTCTAATAATTCATCCCAACATCAGGATATTGTGAGTTTGAAACCCACCAATGCCACAGCTGTCCATATCCAGAAGCCCAAGTGGAAAAAATGCCTGGTAGGACAGTGTGATAGAAGGAGTTCCAGCTAGTGGGGAAATTGAGAGAAAAAAATGCAAATTCAGTTTTGTTTGTCTACCTGAGATGCAGACCTAGAAACAGCAGCTGGGAGAATTTTTGAATGAACTAAGATGTTTGAGTTGGGTGAACTCTGGTGTCCTCAATTTGAGTCAACTCAGCAAAAGCCATGCAATCAGTTACTAAAAAATGTTAAGCTGAGTAGACTGATCTATCTGATTAAAGGCCAGAAGAAATAAGCCCCATAAGCCTCAAACTAATGTTAATAAGCCAAGCAAACACATAAACAGGTCTAAAGCACTCTGAACACCTTAACAACAAATTTACTGGATGTAGAAAGTTATTCAATTAAATTTAATTTTGAATTTAAATGTGAAGCATCACAGTGTCTCCACACTAACAGTTTTGTTGGTTCAGGCTTTCTGGTTAAGGGCTCTCTCTTCTTTTTTCCTGTTTCCGTTTTGAACTTCAACCTGCTTCACCAAGCCCTGTGTTTTTCATCATAAAGGGTGCGTTCACACCTACCTTGTTTGACCTGTCAAATGTTTATTTGGTCTGTTTTGGTCCCACCAAAGAACTGAACTGTGGCCTGGCAAAAATTGCTGATGTCAGTCTACTTCCATGTGAATGCTGCTACAGTTTCATTTCAACATGTATATGAAACACTAAAGTATATTAGGCAAAATATTTTTTTTTCCATATGGACAGAAATGCATGCTTCATATAGGGTCCCCCTGCCTCATAGCAGACAAACTGTTTTCAGTTAGAGCCAAAAATTTCAAATTTTAACTTGGTCCAGAGCTATTACTACCATTGTTCTACAACTCAGTCCATCTGCTTTTATATGTAGGTGAGTCCCTTGGCTTTGTTTCTCCCTATGAAACATGGCTTTTTGGTCTCATTTCTTCCATGAAGGCCTCTTCTCTCCTCTGGACTGTAGATGGGTGTGTCAGGGTGCCAATGGTTTTTGCCAATTCTGTGCTGAGAGTAAGGCTAGATACCTTCCAGTTTCAAAGAGAAGCCTGATATACTTCACATCTTCTGCATGCAGTTTCCATAGCCAACCACTGTGTTTCTGGTCCTCAACTTTATTGATCTTCTGCAGAAAAGCTTGGACAGCACATCTGGAAATGCCACAGAATTTCTGCTTGGGAGAGACCTTACTAATGCAGGATGACCACCTTGTGTCTCGTTGCTATGCTCTGTCTTGCCATAGTGCAAGGTTTGAAGGTTAAACTGCCACATCCACCACAATCTCACCTTTCAGTAAAGTTGTCCCTCACCCAGTTTTATTCCCTCTACACAGTTGTTTCTGTTTTAGTTAATCAGTTTAGTTCAGTCGGCACATACAAAGAGGTATTAATTATCAACGATGTTATGTTTGTTTCATCTTGCACTGGGCTATGTGCCTACAAAGATCTGGATCTAGATCTAGAAAATGGCCTGTTATTAATGCTACTTTCTTTAAAGACACATAAAAACCTACTGTAGAATTTCTCATTTTGCGAAAGAAATGATTTGAAATCTAAAATATTCTGTTTCCTACTGAGGAAAACTTACTACTGCCTAAAACTTTGCAAAGTGTATTGTATCACTCCATGTGCTACCCCGGGTACAGAAAGGATGCTGGAGGCCGGGTCACAGAAGCCATTTCTTTTATTTTCACTCACAAACACGCAACAAAATATATATAAAAAAAAACAATATTAGGTACTACACATACATACATGTATGTATATAGGAGCTTTGAGTACCACAGCTACAGTAAAATAGACAGTATGAGGATCAGACTGATGGAATGCAGGTCAGTCTTCAGCAAACACACAGGTGCACCAGCAGAGGGAGAGGCTGCATCTGAAACACACACAACAAAACCCACTGTTGTATTAAATATGAAGACGGATGTCTCTATCATATTTACTTTGAATGTCATATTTCATCAATTTTCAAAACAAAAGTCTCTATCTTTCAAATACTGTATAAGTTGTGAAACATCTTGAGTCGGTTCATCACCGTGTTTATTAGAGAGTGAGCAAACTCACTTTTACTCCTTCACTTTTTATTAACATGAGAAATCGATTTCCAGTGTAAAGAGCTGCATGAGTTTAACAAAATTATATTTCCGTGTAATTTTTTAACCTTATCTAAAACTAATCTGTCACTTAAGACAATCAGTGAAAATGTCTCACTTCTTAATCAAGAGGAAGATGCTGAGTCTGATCAAAACACAGAACAGCAGATTTGTGATTGAGCAGCCGGTATTGCCAACAAAATATATCTTTATTTGGGTTTGTTCTGAACAGAAATGGCCTTTTTCCTACTCCTGCATTCCACACTTCTCTCTTCAGATGGTAACCAGTTAGAATTAAATAACAAAACAGTTAATAATAATCAGTTCATATAATGTTTTAGGCACATAGCTTATAGCAGTTAAACAGTACGCTACGTAACTAACATTACCCAGTGTCTAGACTGTGTTCACCAGGAAACACAATGTAAAAAAGATTAGGCAACCCAAGGTTTCCTGAACCACCATCACATGCACAGCACACGGCCACTAAACTCTGTAGCTTGGTCTAAATTAGCATCATTTATTAGCTTACTGCCTAATACCGAGCATGATACCAGTATATCTGAAAGTAGCTGAGATCCGTCTGGATGTGCGTGTTGGTGTTGATATTAGACTTCAGTAAAAACAGCAACTGTCCTTAGAATTTTCAGTGTTTAAAATCGAGCTGGTGGGTTGAGGGTCAAAGTTAAACTATGTTTACTAGGAATGTTACAGTTAAAATCAAAAACCAGCTAAATAAACAAGTCATGCATGCTGAAGATATTACACTAACCTCGTTATTAGTAATAGTTTTAAAGGAAAATTCCACTGATTGTCAACATTATTTTGCATAATTACATCATTGAGATGTAAATACAGTCATGATTGTGATTTGAAAGGAAGTGCACTGTTTTAAAGAGACTTACTGAGTCAGAATTGTTTGTATTGGTGGTGACAGGAACCAGGCGTCCACAGTGGTTGAGCTACTACACAAAGTGGTCATGAATACATGTTTTATGATCATTTTGAGAAGGTTTTGGTGATAAATGCATTAATGGATGGAGAATTACATGCAGAAGG